AATATAAACTAATATAAAATAATAAAAACTAAAATATACGTATATCAGATTTATTGAAAGGACAAAATTATGAGGATTATAGTAAAGATAATTAATAAAAAAAAAAAAAAAAAAAGATGGCATGTTATCTACAGGCCTAAAATTTTAATAAACACGTTGAATACTATTTTATACATTTGACAGTAAAACTTGTGTGTGCTATTTTAATTTTAGATGTATTACAATGAAGTACGCAAATATATACGTATATCAGATATATTATAAGGACAACATTATGAGGACTATAGTAAAGATAATTAATGAAAACAGAAGTGAACACATCCCCATATATATTAATGTATATCTTGTATTTGAAGTTGTTCGTGTACATGATAAAAAAGTATTACTGTAATAAAGAATAGTCTATATTCAAAAGAAAAAAAAAAAAAAAAAAAATTATTTAGTGAACATGACTAAACTCATGTTTTAAAATTAAAAAACTTTTTAAATTTGAAATACAAAACATAATTCAAAACATATGCTAAGAAATATTATGACAAATAATACATTCATAGTTTATAATTCCAACTCATTTAGACATCAAGTTAAAAAAATTAGTAATTTACACAAATGTTTAATTTAGTACACTCTATTATAATGTTAACATTTTGTTTAGTTCAAACTTTAAAAAATTTGCCTGTCATTATTTTAGTTTTACTCTGTATATGTATATATGTATTGAATTAAAAAAAAAAAAATAATAAAAAAATAAACTAATAGAAACTAATAGAAACTAATAGAAACTAATAGAAACTAATAGAAACTAATAGAAACTAATAGAAACTAATAGAAACTAATAGAAACTAATAGAAACTAATAGAAACTAATAGAAACTAATAGAAACTAATATAAACTAATAGAAACTAATAGAAACTAATAGAAACTAATAGAAACTAATAGAAACTAAACTAATAGAAACTAATAGACACTAATATAAACTAGACTAAACTATTTTAACATAATCTAAACTCAACTAAAATAAATTAATCTATATTTTTTTTGTAAAGTGGATACTATTAGCAAACCAAACGATCAAGGTATCCTTCCTAATGTAATCATGTCTCAATCCAGCATAATGCATCCGTCATGGTTGCCCTGGCAGACTTCGAGTATTGCGTAGCGTTGTGGTGGCAAAAAAGTCTACACTTTTTGAGCAGGACAATATTCTATTTCTTTGTCGCTGCCATCGAGTTTTCCTTGCCTACCTTGCATGCGTTTCAACCAATAATTTTCTCGAACTTCTTTTGGAATTAAATAAATAATAATAATAAATAATATCCACAGTAGTAAACAATTACTCATTCTAAAGTTATTAAATAAATAGTCTCCATTATTTAAGATTTTTTTTTTTGTTGTAAAAACCAGCCACGAAGACATGACTTATTGATTTTTAGGAGATCATATATACCTTTCCTCATGCCATACAATGTCTATCCCCATTCTCATTGAAGGCATTAAATGTAGTGTGTCATAAGTGGTGAAATGTTTGTAATTATGAAGGTTTTATGCCTTTGTTTGTTTTTTTTTGGATAGCTGTGTCCATGAGATTGTGCAGAGTGGAAGAAACGCATTTCTGGCCATGGAGAAATGCCTGGAACCGGAGATCATTGTTTTGTGTTCATTGTTAAATGACATGTACAAACTTATTTTAAAATTACAACTTTGCCCTGCGGCTTGGTCGGTCATGAGCTCTCCAAGATTTTATTGGCTCACACATTTTAATGTCTTTCCTGTGCGCGCTACATGAGAGCTTTGTGCCGAATGTTCTCTTACTTGACGTCTGAACGCTGTGGAAACTACCATTTTTGAATTACCATTCTTAGACCAAGGAGGGCAACATGTTCCGAATGGCCACAGTTGTCGCGAATGAAAATCAATACTCGCCACAGTATATATAAATCATAAATAACAAAAATGTAATAAAATGGGAAGAAATAACTAAACATGTGTTCTCTCCTATATCAGAACTGTCAGTAAGCAGACGTGCACCTACAGCTGTAGCTAAATAAAACAACAAAAAACGCGTGAATCCATTACCCCAGTCAGTGAAAACTTGACATAACGAGCCCGGATAGCTTCAGTGTGAGTCGTCCAGCAGTCTGGCTACGCATCGAGACATAAGCGCCTTTAATGAATTCGTGTCCGACAGACTCCTAGTTTCACAAACCACAACGCCGAGCGTGGTGCCGAGACATGTATGTGATGACGGCCGATAGAATATGTCCTACTGGACATGTTAGAACTCTATGATTGTTGCCGTTCAGGGTATAGCAATGAGAACTGCCGTGTGTGTTGAGCTGTTGTGAATTGTAATAATTCGAATATGAGGCTAAAGGATATTACTGCAGGTATGTGGTAGGCTATGGTATATTACTGGAGGTGTGTGTTAAGCTAAGGTATATTACAGCAGGTATATGGTTAGCGATATTACTCCTGGTATGTAGCAGGCTTAGGGATTATACTCCAGGTATCTGGTAGGCTATGGAATAATATTCCAGATATATGGTAGGCTATGGGATTATACTCCATGTATCTGGTAGGCTATGGGGTAATACTCCAGGTATGTGGTAGGCTATGGGATAATACTCCAGGTATGTGGTAGGCTAAGATGTAATTTATTTAATATTGTTATTTTATTTTTTTGTTTCTTGCGATCTCTCACCTTTAACTTATGTATTGTTTTCACTCTCTCTCTCTCTCTCTTTCTCTCTCTTTATTTCTTTATCTCCTACCTCTCTCTTTCCTCCTCACAACTTCCAATGCCATTAATAATATCACGTGGCACTGTTGGCCACTAAACTTCGTAGATCCTACGTCAAAGCTTTGATTCAAACTCGTGAACCCCCACCCCCCCTTTCCCCCAACCCAAATTCATACTTTATTTTGTGATACATTTTGTGAAATTTGTCTACTTCTTGTGAAGAATATTGTGTTACCCAAATCTACAGGTTCTCATTTGAAAAAGAAATTAAAAAGTTGTTTTTAGGCTATAGGAATGTATTTATTTTTAGAAACGACCTCTCAAGGAAGATTTGGCTAAATAATTTATTTTTAAAAATTATTTACTCTAAATCACGGGCGTAGCACGAGAAAAAGACGGTAGGGGTGAAGGGTGTGTAGGGTCATTTTTTGATCCCCCGCCTATGCTGTGTATAGCTAACATTTGATGTGTGTCCTGTCAAATCCAGAGGCACCACACATTTGAATTTGAAAAGTTGTGAAGCGTGAAGTTTTAGACAGGAGATTAACTTTTCATTTGTCGTAAGAAATGTAATAACACAACAGTTTGGAAATGGGTGATTTATGATTTGACCTCACATACTAAATGATTGCATGCTATCTGACCTCATGTACTACATGATTACAAGCTATCTGACCCAATATAATACATAATTACATGCTATCTAACCTCACATACTAAATGATTACAAGCTATCTGACCTCACATTCTACATGATTACAAGCTATCTGACCTCACACACTACATGATTACAAGCCATCTGACCTCACATACTACATGCTCACAAACTATCTGACCTCACATACTACATGATTAGAAGCTATCTGACCTCACATACTACATGATTACAAACTATCTGACCTCACACACTACATGATTACAAGCCATCTGACCTCACATACTACATGATCACAAACTATCTGACCTCACATACTACATGATTAGAAGCTATCTGACCTCACATACTACATGATTACAAACTATCTGACCTCACATACTACATGATTACAAACTATCTGACCTCACATACTACATGATTACATGCTAACTGACCTCACACACTACATGATTACAAGCTATCTGACCTCACATACTACATGATCACAAACTATCTGACCTCACATACTACATGATTACAAGCTATCTGACCTCACCTACTACATGATTACAATCTATCTGACCTAGTACACATATAATCAATAGCCATACCAAACAGACCGTATTGTCTTCCGGTATTGCAAGCGATGCCGGATGTCGGGCTGATGGATGGCCGAGCTGTTAGGGACAATTATAAAACACAACAAAAAACAAACTGTGGTGGTGAGTAATTGGTTTCTGTCCGATCAGACACCACGTGTGATATATGATAGGGCCTTAACCCTCGCCCCAACACGTACTTGAAACACACTGCATTACAGTGGCGTACACACAGTCGTATTGGTACAGTGAAATCTACAATTTGATACTGGTACAGTGAAATACGAATTGTCATTCTGGTACAGTGACATACGCTGTCATATTGATACAGGTACAGTGACATATACAGTCATATTGATACAATGACATAAACACTCTCACATTTTACAGTCGCATACACAATGTCACACTGGGACAGTGACATACATAAATATATTGGTACAGTACATGGAATTATATTGGTTCAAAGACTAAAATAAAGTCATAATATTGAAATGAAGTTCAAAGGTCATGCCTAGAAAAATAAATGGATTATATAATTACGAACTCAAATCGTTTTTTAAAAAAAATGCAGACCCAGGTGTAACATGAAGGCCCATGTGTAACATGCAAGCCCAGGTGTAACATGCAGGCCGAGGTGTAACATACAGGTCAAGGTGTAACATACAGGCCCAGGTGTAACATACAGGCCCAGGTGTAATATACAGGCCCAGGTGTAACATGCAGGCCCAGGTGTAACATACAGGCCCAGGTGTAACATACAGGCCCAGGTGTAACATACAGGACAACGTGTAACATGCAGTCCCAGGTGTAACATACAGGCCCAGGTGTAACATGCAGTCCAAGGTGTAATATACAGACCCAGGTGTAACATGCAGGCCCAGGTGTAACATACAGGCCCAGGTGTAACATACAGGCCGAGGTGTAACATGCATGCCCAGGTGTAACATGCAGACCTAGGTTTAACATGCAGGCCAAGGTGTAACATACGGGCCCAGGTGTAACATGCAGACCTAGGTTTAACATGCAGGCCAAGGTGTAACATGCAGGCCAAGGTGTAACATGCAGACCTAGGTTTAACATGCAGGCCAAGGTGTAACATGCAGTCCAAGGTGTAACATGCAGGTCAAGGTGTGACATGCAGGCCAAGGTGTAACATGCAGGCCAAGGTGTGACATGCAGTCCAAGGTGTAACATGCAGGTCAAGGTGTGACATGCAGGCCAGGTGTAACATGCGGGCCAAGGTGTGACATTCATTCTTTTAATTTTTTACCCACTTGACGCTGAAATTAAGTGTCCCAAGATGATCATTTAGAATCATAAAATAAATTTCGCCACTTCTCACAAGCTTCCAACGCACTAATGCAAACACACATTAAACACACTTGCAAACACAGCAAACGCCCGTGAACACGCGCATAAACAAACACAAACAGAAACAGGCACACACATACACACCAAATGAAACCTTGAAGCACCCACACAAACACCGATAGACACACACACACAATTACATCTTCAAGAGAGGTACACAGGGACACATCACCGCATGAGAATTGTATGTGACACATATCAAATACATGCGACCTGTATCCATTACACGTTAAAATGAGGATAATTCTTCCGGAAGTAGATATCACTATTGATAGTTCATGTTTCCTCTCGTTATTATGTTTAAAGTGAATGCATACTATCCTTATTTTGTTAAAATTTAATGTTCCCTCTTATTATTTTTGTTAATAGTGAATGTTTCTTGCCATTCTTTGTTTAAGTGACTTTTCCTTCTCAAATTTTTGTTTTTTAAATTGAATGTTCTCTCTTATCATTTTGTTAAAACTAAATCTCCCTGTGCAGTTCGCCTCATTACAGCCCCCTACACTGAACGCGCGCGGGTGGTTGGTGTCGTGCATCCACAGGGACTGTGGGCAACAAGTGTTTCACTGAGCTGCCCTATATACAGTTGACTCATTTCACACCTGATGTTAGTGTTGCACCTGTCGTTAGTGGTGGTACTGCCAGTAATAGCATTATTGCCATAAACATCATTTAGACCTAAAATGTATTGCAAAAAAAATCATGATATGTTTTAAGGCAGAGTTTCTCAACCTGTGGGTCGCGACCCGTTTGTTAGTCGCGACCCGTTTTGCGGTCGAACGACCCTTACAAAAGGGTCGCCTAAGACCATCGGAAAAAAAAAAAAAATTAAGTAGCAACGAAAATAATTTCATGGTTAGGTGTCACCGTAACGTGAGGAATTGTATTAAAGGGTCACGGCATTTGGAATTTTAGGAACAACTGTTTTAAGGGATAGTTGTGCCAAAAGGGATAATGTTTACTTAGCAAATCTAAAGTGCAATCTAAATAGTTGTATTATCCCAAGCCAGTGGTTCTCACAATTTTTCGAAGTACTGCGCCCTTCACAATGTAATTACATTTTTCATTTTCTTGGGAGGGGGGGTGGGGGGTAAAAAGTATGCAAAGATAGGTCTTAGAAAGGTATTTCAAGTCCCAAAGTAACATTTATCAATCATGTGTAGAGGATTTTGCAAGCAGCCATTGCAGAGTGAGTTGTTGGTTTGAACAAGGTCTGGCACACGTGATGTCGTATAACAAATTTTGAAACTAGAATAAACGACCCGATGTTAGCGGGATAATAATGGTAGGTCTTTTGCGATAATTTCTAACTGCTATTGCAAAAACTCATCACAATTCATAACTTTTAAAATGTAATGATATTTACATTTCTAGCATCATTAAGTTTTGAGAAATGTTTATCTGCTATACATGATACGCATACCTTATACCCTTTTACACTCCTAAACTACTTTTCCCCCCTCTAAACATCACCTTAAATTATTCAGTCTAAGTTATCACTAATTATATCACTTTTGTCACTAAAGAAGTTAATTTAGGGACAATTACTACTCTAGAGAAATACTTTAGATTTACCCCTTTTCGGCCTTTGAATTACAACTTTTTTCTCCCAAAATTTTAAAATACATAATCTTAATTTTACAACAAAAACTCTATGATATAAATATATTTTGTATTACAGGAATTTGATATATATTGATATCTTCATCAAAAATTTAAACACATTGTTGCCTTTTTAAAAAAAAAATATATATATTATCATAAAATCGTAAAAGAAAGAATTCTTTTATCTAAAAAGAATCTCGCAACGGTTTTTCACCCCTATATTAGATTTGATTGTCTTTTTAAAAAAAAATTAATTGTTAATCTCATAAAAATACACCTCTTTACATTTTGAAAAGTAATAACCAAAAATGTATTTTCATTTCCAAAAAAAAAAAGGAAATATTAACCCATCCTCATTTGTCCAAATTTAATTTTCAAGTGTCTAAAATGATTGGGTTTTGATATATATGGATATTCGTATATAAATGTACTCAAGATTTTTTAACGCCATTTGACTTTCTTAATTGGTAAACATATGTTTATTTGTAAAAAGAGAAGTTAACATCTCTTTTTTCACAAATGTACAATATATTGTAATCCACGTAAAAATGTACACATACTTTTTCCTATCTCCGATATGTATGTACCCAAGAAGGTTAATTATTAATCAAATTAATTCCTTTATTTTGAGAGGTATCTTGTGCTGCCTGTGGCAAAGTGACCAGCCCCTCCTCCCCCCCTCCCCCCACACACACACAGATTTAAATAAATTTAGAAAATCTTCCACCCGATTGTAGTCCCTTCCATACCCAAACAAACATGTTTTGCACTTCATATGGTTCGTTCTTATTTGTATGAGGTATAAGTGGATTAGTCAATGCTATTTACCTATGGAGTTGCGCTGCACGGATTGACTTAAACGGCATTTTCTATAAGAATTATATTTAAAGGTTAGTTTTTATTACGTTATAAATATAATAAAAGTATATTTTTGGAATTAAAAAAGGCAAAACTTTTTGAAATGTAAAAATATACAAAGCAAAACTGTGTATGCGTTTTATTAACCATTTCAAAACCAATCATATGTATATATTAATTTTAATTTTAAGAGGGGAAAATACATTATCAGTTTTGTCACGCGCGTTTATTAAATTTAAAGAAATTTAAGAGTTTTGACGAAAGAAGTTATTCGCGCTATGAAGTCATTTGCTTGATTATTTAGAACAAATTAATTTTAATTTTATTTCGCAATATTAACAACGCACTAAAAAGACGCACTTAAAACGACTGATGCTTGGGTTTTCCCGATTAATGTTATTACGGTGTAATTCTTTGATCATGATTTTTTAATTTTTTATTTTTTCATAAATTTCAAACAAATATAACATGCTTAAAATAGTTCCTTATTTGATACTTTAAATGTATTTGTAATTTATACTTATATAACGTTAACTTTTAATAAAATAAAAGCAAATTTAAAATATTCTTTGCGCACTTAAAATTATTATATTTCCGTAAAATAATAGAAAATAACTATGAATGTTTTTAGGAATCCGAACGTAGTTAAATCGTATAGGCTCTTTGGCGTTATGTCACTGTAGCTCATTCTTATATATATAATATATTGTATTATTCAACCAATTATTTAAAAAAAGCCCCTGTGAGAAAGCCACGGCTCCCAAATGCACCGGAGACACATTTTTTAATACTTTTGTGGGAAGGGGGTGGAGGAATTAAACCACTAGTCTTTGAAGTTAAAGCTTTTATTATTTTAAAATAATTTATTTAATGAACATAATTTCTAAATTAATATTTAAACCGTTACCGTACTTTGTAATCAATATATACCCCAAATTAAATCGATGTATCCCCATTTTTATATCATTGTATATTCTCACATGTATCAATTGTCAGATGAACATTGAAAGATTGTATTGGCAATTAATTCAAGAAGCTGTACAAAATGACTTTGATTGATATTTTTTGTTTAAAAATTCAAGTAATCTTGGATTAATTATGCCTTTTCTGAGGTATAGCCTATCCACAAGATTTTTAAATTCATCACGTTCCCGTGGTTTCCTTTCCGGTTGCTTCCAGGTGTATTTAATTCTTTGCGTTTCTGCTCCTAGCTCGCGTCTCTGTGAATTCTTTGGCCTTATTCTCTTTCCTTTTCCTTGTGGATTCCATGTTAGGGATTATCTGGTGATTTTATCTGTTGTCTTTTTTTTTTTTTTTTTAGATTTTTCCCTATCCTCCTCCCTATTTTTCTGACGGTGTCGGCATCTATGGGCACCTTTTACGCCCTTTCCAATTTTTTTTTTTTTTTTTTATTTTTTTTTTTTTTTATTTTTTTTTTTTTTTTTTTTTTTTTTTTCTTTTGTTTTTTTTTTTTTGGTTTTTTTGGTTTTTTTTTTTTTTTTTTTTTTTTTTTTTTTTAGAATTTTCCCTATCCTCCTCCCTATTTTTCTGACGGTGTCGGCATCAATGGGCACCTGTTACGTCCTTTCCAGTACGCCTTTTTGGTGATGGTATGCGGCTTTTTTATGGTCAATCGTGTATGCTGCTCATTAAATTATATTTAAGTTTAAATTACTTTACAATTAAGTACAAATGCGCACAACAAATGACATTTTTAAAGTAATGATGTCAAACATATGAAATGGATCAACTGCCATGTGCTAGTGTTGGTGTCAACTCCATCAATAATGAGAACCTTTTGTTCAACAGCATTCAATTTATTACTGTGTCCACAAGTTAAGCGTAAGCAATAGTCGGGTTACATTCGCCGTTTATTTTGTAATGCGATGAGCTAAGCTCTTGCTCGGAGTAACTTTAAAGGGTCGATTAATGTAGATATGAGTGGTAGACGGTGTAACCGAATATTCCGCATTAGCGTAATGCGGCTGTGGGCTGGACGGTCTTTAAATTAACACGAGAAATACGGAGGAGGCTGGTTTTACGTTGAAACAAAACAAATATACATAAGGTATAGGAAAATATACACAGGGTATAGGAAAATATACACAGGGTATAGGAAAATATACACAGGATATAGGAAAATATACACAGGGTACAGGAAAATGTGCACAGGTTACAGAAAATATACACAGGGTATAGGAAAATATACACAGGATATAGGAAAATATACACAGAGTATAGGGAAATATACACAAGGTATTGGAAAATATACACAGAGTATAGGGAAATATACACAAGGTTTTGGAAAATATACACGGGGTATGGAAAATATAAAAGGAGTATAGAAAAATATACTCGGGGTATAGGAAAATATACTCGGGGTATAGGAAAATATACACAGGGTATAGGAAAATATACACAGGGTATGGGAAATTCTGAAAACAGACAATACAAAATAGCCGACGTTTTGGCTAAGAAGCCTACGTCACGAAAAAATACAGAATGCACACATAAGTATGGAGTTTTTTTGTATTTTCCACTTTGTATAATAACAGCGTTGTCCATTAAAATAATGGTCTTCATACAACACTTACTATTCAAACATTCATTGCACTTAGAGCCCGCATGGTTTCATCGTATTCCTTCATTAATTTAATATATAAAAGTTGTTTTTTTTAATATATAGTAAAATGGAGCAGGTTGAATGGCTCGCAATGCGAAACACAGCGCCTTAAAACTGAGGTCATGGTACGCTAACTAATTTGAGATTATATATTGTTCACATCACTTAATTATCGTGAAGTTTGATGTGTAGAAAGTGTGTCACTGTTTAACCCCAGCCGTATATCATTAACCGATTCCATTACATTTCAGGTCTGCCCGGTGTTGTTTTTATTTATTTATTTATTTATTTTTTTGCATTGTATTCTAGATTGGGCGCCAATCTGAAACACAACCCACTTGACGATCTATAACGCAACCCACTTTCAGAATTTTTTACAAACATACAGCATAACAATGTCACTTAGTCCCTTACAAATAAATCTCTGTCGTGAAAGTTTGTCAACATTTTTCAAACTCGTTCCTTTTTTCCACGACCATTGAAGTACGAGCGAATTCAAAACTCGATTATGGATATACTATTTTCCTCCAACCAGGGGCGCATTTGAAACAACCGCCGAAAATATCTTTCTTTTTCACTACTAGGAACACGTTGCCGCTGGAACTATGCACCGCTCACAAACCCACGCTCTCACGGAACATTTTAAGCGCTTTGTTGTATTTCGGCACTTTCTGCATTGGAAACTAGATGATGATAATAACATCAGCAATGAGCGCAAAAACTAACTTAGTTACTTGTCTGTTCTGTTCATCTAGTTCATGACGACGATGGTCTTAAAGGAACAAGTCGCATGTGGCGTGCGTCCATGCTGATTACTCTACTTGGTAAGTTGGCATGAATTCTCGGAGCTAGACAAATTATTTGGTTAAGTGTTATTAAATTCTTAGAATGGTCAACTTGGTGCAAGCTGGAAATGCCGAGTGGTAACTTTTAATGATCGCTCCTGGACTGGTGTCGATGTCGCTACAATTTTTTGTTTTGAACTCCTGCCAACCAATGCATTCGACCTCTTGTGCTAAGTCATCCAGGGCACTATTGGATTTAGCTCAATGGAAGATGGCGCAAAGAGGGCACCTTTGATTCGCGTTAAATAAAGATATGTTGAAGTCGTGGATTGATTCACCTATACGTTTAGAGCGGAGTTAGAGATGTACAACGGATAATACAATGGGGTTACAATGGTACAAAGTGAAGTACACGGATTTTACAATACTACAGAATATAATACACGGCGTTTACAATGGTACAGAATAGAATACACAGGGTTTATAATGGTTACACGGGTTTTACAATGGTACAACGTATATTACAAGGGGTTAACAGTGGTACAAAGTATAATACACGGTGTTTATAATGGTAGAGAGTATAACACACAGAGTTAACTATGGTATTAAGTATAATACACAGGGTATACAATGTTACAGAATATAATACACAGGGTTTACAATGTTAAAGAGTATAATACACAGGGTTTACAATGTACAGAGTATAATACACAGTGTTTACAGTGGTACAGAGTATAATACACAGGGTTTACAGTGGTACAGAGTATAATACACAGGATTTGCAATGGTTCAGGGTATAATACAGAGTGTTTACAGTGGTACAGAGTATAAGACACAGGGTTTACAATGGCACAGAGTATAATACACAGGGTTTACAATGGTTCAGGGTATAATACATGGGGGGTAACAGTGGCACAAAGTGTTATTTTCAACACTAAAAAAAATAATAACAGTCGACCTAAATGTGTGAACGTGTCTCTTGGAAATTTAGTACCCTACATTAGTGAAAGACAAAGTTACAAGACATGTGTGTTGAACAGAAATGTGTAACTCAGTAACAGTGTTGGGAAGGCATGTTTAACACAACATGTGTTTTGGACAGAAATATGTAACACAGCATATGTGATGGACATTCATGTTTTACACATGTGCGTTGGACAGAAATTTCTTACACAAAATATGTCTTTGACAGAAATGTTGTACATAAAATGTGTATTTGACAGAAATGTGGTACCACAAAATGTGTCTTTGACAGAAATGGTGTACACAAAATGTGTCTTTAACAGAAATGTTGGACACAAATGTGTCTTTGACAGAAATTGTGTCCTTAAAATGTGTATTTGACAGAAATAGTGTACACACAATTTGTCTTTGACAGAAATGTTGTACACAAAATGTGTCTTTGACAGAAATGTGGTACCACAAAATGTGTCTTTGACAGAAATGGTGTACACAAAATGTGTCTTTAACAGAAATGTTGGACACAAATGTGTCTTTGACAGAAATTGTGTCCTTAAAATGTGTATTTGACAGAAATAGTGTACACAAAATTATCTTTGACAGAAATAATGTACACAAAATGTATCTTTGACAGAAATGGTGTACACAAAATGTGTCTTTAACAGACATTTTTAATGAGTAGGAACCAGCAAAAGTCTTAAATCAAAGATCACGTGTTAGTAGATCAATATTATTCATGTTGGTCTTGTGCTGAACACCTTAAAATTCAAACTCCATTGCAATAGCGCCCAGTAGGTTTAATTACGGTAAATGTTTAACAAAATGGGGTTCACGGGAAATGTTACAGGTGCTGTAAACGCTGCTTTTAAGTCTTTTAGGTAAGTGGCTTAAAATTAAAATGTCCATAATTGTTTGAAAGCAACCCTTAACAGCACCTCTCATTCTAAATTACAAAAAAAATACTAACCAACACTGTAGAGCTACTAGCCTTGTTCAACAACTTAATGTGTTTCAGGTTTGATCAGCTATGTGATCGGGTTCAGCACCCAGCATTGGTGCTCAATGGACCATGAACTGTCCGAGCACATGGCAGGTGTGGAGGTGAATGCCCATTTCGGACTCTGGACTCAGTGCATCACACTCACCGTGCTCTTCAATGGCAAGGTCATCAAGGACGATTGTGAAAATTTGAAGAACGACAAAGGTCAGCTTTTCAAACATACGCACTCGTCTGTATCTTGGTTCAACCCTTTCAACATGCAGCCCTCGTCTATCTTGGTTCAACCCTTTCAACATGCAGCCCTCGTCTATCTTGGTTCAACCCTTTCAACACGCAGCCCTCGTCTATCTTGGTTCAACCCTTTCAACATGCAGCCCTCGTCTATCTTGGTTCAACCCTTTCAACATGCAGCCCTCGTCTATCTTGGTTCAACCCTTTCAACATGCAGCCCTCGTCTATCTTGGTTCAACCCTTTCAACATGCAGCCCTCGTCTATCTTGGTTCAACGCTTTCAACATGCAGCCCTCGTCTATCTTGGTTCAACCCTTTCAACATGCAGCCCTCGTCTATCTTGGTTCAACGCTTTCAACATGCAGCCCTCGTCTATCTTGGTTCAACCCTTTCAACATGCAGCCCTCGTCTATCTTGGTTCAACCCTTTCAACATGCAGCCCTCGTCTATTTTGGTTCAACCCTTTCAACATGCAGCCCTCGTCTATCTTGGTTCAACGCTTTCAACATGCAGCCCTCGTCTATCTTGGTTCAACGCTTTCAACATACGGCACTCGTCTTTCCGGTTCCAACCTTTTCAACACACGAGACTGGTCTGTCCTGTTTCAACCCTTTCAACAGAAAATAAAAAAAATATAATTTAAATACTTTGTCATTAGTAGCAAATAAATGTTGGAATTTTTAATGGTGTGTGAAATGGTATGGGTAATGGATTGTGTAATGTTATGTGCAATGGTATGTGTAATGGTTTCTGGGTAATGATATTGATAACGGTATGTATAATGAAGACAAAATATTGATCTAAATAATGGCCAGTGAAGTTTAAAGCTTGTCTAAAGACGTCTAAAACTCTGTTAGTTCATCAGATTCACCCCCTCTCCTCCACTCCCCCACACCCCACACCCCCGTCAATACCCTCAACCACACGCACCGTGGCTATCGTGAGGCACCAAACACAATACTTCAAAACACCAACATATGTTGACCGTTATTATATAACGCATCTCAAAGGGAAGTAAAGCGGAAATTACTTTTGCAAGTGCATCAACAGTTGCATGCTAATAACCCCCCCCCCCCTTTTTTCATCATTAAGCGTTTCGAGTTTCCACATGAACATTCATGACAATCTCCAGCCGAAATCCCCAAGCCATGAACATTCATGACAATCTCCAGCCGAAATCCCCAAGCCATGAACATTCATGACAATCTCCAGCCGAAATCCCCAAGCCATGAACATTCATGACAATCTCCAGCCGAAATCCCCAAGCCATGAACATTCATGACAATCTCCAGCCGAAATCCCCAAGCCATGAACATTCATGACAATCTCCAGCCGAAATCCCCAAGCCATGAAAATTAATTTTTTTTGTTGGTGTAAGTTTTGTAATCGTAGAAACAATCGTTTTGTAATCAATACTCTAAGAGTGCATGTCACGTGTTGTCTAGAGACAGAATTGGTAATAAATATACTTTTTTTTTTTTTTTGTTAGTTGCTAGCTAATAATTCATGACTCGAACAAATGCTACGCATAATTGAAGAGCCCACCAGAATGTGTACGTTGAATCCATAATTTCGTTTTCCTACCTGTGTTTTACTAATGTGCACCGTTGTAGGGAAGGGTGGTGCTGAGGGTTGGGATGGGGGGGGGCGCTTCCCCCGGCTGCCCCTTTGTTCTAGATCTACGGCAGAGCTGCATTGCCGGCAAACTGAAGACAATTTCGTCGGAAGGGGTATAAACTTTTTTTTTAAAAATTGCTTTGGCTGCGACTATCCCATTCGTGCCACCAACCGATAATCAAGACACATGAGTGATGTTCTTGTTAAAAAAAGATAGCTGACCATATGTATAAGTCTTTATGTTTTGTGTGACTTCTTCTTTGCTAACACATTTGTGTCTATTGCCTCAAGCCTTCAAACCCCTAGTGCAAGATTTCCTCATCAACACCAGTAACAGAAACATTGCAAATCCCATCTACATGCATAGGAGCCAAAATGATCAATAAATTGATCGTGGACCCTTAAGATATAGAAGAAAAAATGAACAATACTTCTCCAATTCGGTGTTCTTGTTGGTGAGTGTCTGTACCCTTCTGTATTTACATATATCAACAGCGTGGAAGCCAGCGTCCAAATCCCTGTGCTCGATCGGGCTGATCCTCAGCACGCTTGGCCTGGTGTTCAGTTTTCTGGCCGGCTGTCGTCAAAACATGCTGTTGATGACATTCGGTGGCGGCCTACTCATGGCAGGAGGTGAGTAACCCGGTCATTAGCGTAAACAGGTAAAGATAGAACAGGTCCCATTTGTAAGAGTTATAAGAGTAAACAGGTGAAAATAGAACAGATCTTATGTGTGAGAGCTATTAGAGTAAACAGGTGAAAATAGTTTGACTAGAGTGGTATGTAAAAATAAACCACTTGAGATCTGTTTGGGATTAATTGCAAATAGTGCAAGACGCGCTAATTGTTTACCAGGTCATACATTTTTTTTCCTCTCATTACTTGTGTGTCACTGACCACGTTGGATAGTGCAAGGGTGACGCTCGTGCATGGAGCCGGACAGCCATGGATCGATCCAAATGGAAGGATATTGTGGAGCAGGCCAGAGCCCGACAAGGGCTTTAGTACCACTGATGATGATGATGATAGTGCAAGGGTAGAGGACCTCAAGAAAAATAATTGGGGAGGGGGGGAATCTAATTTTCAAGAAGAATTCCTAATAAATGGTTATTTATGACTAAAGCTTTTCTTGTAGTATATCTATGCAGAAGACGGAGGGCTTGCTAATAGTTTTCTGTGTACGAAGTTAACATTTATTCTCATTTTCAAGCAAACTCAACAAAGTTTTTTTTTTGTTTTTCCTTCGCTGGTTAATACCTTAAAGCACTTTACTAATGGGGATATTTCCAAATAAGGATGTATTTTTTATCTGCTTACCGCTACGGACAGGAATTAAAATCCATTTCATACTCCCAACGTTGCAGTGCACAAAAATGGGAAATTACTCCCCCCCCCCCTTTCTAAAAAAACCAACAACCCTGAAGCACCGCATCAAACTAAACCTTCATAGCATTGAACAATTATGGGAGAAAAATAACTATCCACCCAGCAAAAAAAAAAAAGCTCTTCCCATCCCGTTGCAGTGCACAAAAATGGGAAATTACCCCCCCCCCCCCTTTCTAAAAAAACCAACAATCCTGGAGCACGGCATAAAACTAAACCTTCATAGCATTGAACAATTATGGGAGAAAAATAACTTTTCACCCAGCAAAAAAAAAAAAAGTAGTTTATTTTACTTATTTTTACTTATCATATTGTCTCTTTCTTGCAGCCATGATCTCCGCCATTGGGTCCGGTCTATTTGTCGGCAAGGCCAAGCATGAAGACGATAGACTTGAGCCGGGGTATTCCGTCTACTTTGCCCTGACTGGTTCTGGCCTGTTGGTGGTTGGCGGGGGCATGCAACTCTTGTCCATAAGGCACGAGTACTCTTCAATAGCTTAGGAATGTTTAAAGGGACTTCATGGCTCTAAACAAATTTATAATGTGAAGAAGCAAATGAACCTGCGGCCCAGTGGATATGTCACATTGTTATCTCATTTACCTCATGTTGACATTGTCACATTTTTTATCTGATTGACCTCATGTCAAAATTTTCACATTGTTATCTCGTTGACCTCATGTCGACATTGTCACAATTTTATCTCATTGTCCTCATGTTGAAATGTTCACATTGTTATCTCATTGTCCTCATTTCGACTTTTTCACATTGTTATCTCATTGTCCTCATTTTGACATTTTCACATTGTTATCTCATTGTCACCATGTTGAAATTTTCTTATTGTTATCTTATTGTCCTCATTTTGACATTTTCACATTGTTATTCCATGTCCTCATTTTGACATTTTCACATTGTTATCTCATTGACCTCATGTCAAAATTGTCACATTGTTATCTCGTTGACCTCATGTCGACATTGTCAGCTCATTGACCTCATGTAGTTTTGCGTGACAACAGACACTTTAATTATTTAGCTACCCAATGTTAGACAATTGTTTTAATATTCAATTTTTTTTCACAATTATCGTAATAGGCATATTTGTTGATGTTAAATAAAGAAAGTGCTTGGATTATATTTAGTTTGCGTTTTGACAAGTGTTTGAAAATAGCAACGAATAAAGACCTTGTAATGGATGTCACAATAAAAATGGGATGAGATTATAATGAACGGGACTGAAGTTTGGTGGCTTATGATGATGTCTGATTGTCTAAGGTAGGAGGAGGGGGGGCAATATATCCTGTACAAATCAGGCAGAAGAAAAAAAAAAGATCTCTAGAAATTTTCTTGAACTCACCCCTGAGCAGTACCAAACGTCAACAATTATTTAAAACAGCGATTTACCTAACGGAGACATCTACTTCAAACATTATGGCATCCTTCCGTCTACGTGAGACGATGGAGTAGCTATATAGTTCTACACTTTGACGATGGAGTAGCTATATAGTTCTACACTTTGACGATTGGCTCACTAGGCCAATCCTAGAATTACAATCACGGCCGCATCTCTCGCAGGAGAATGTAAATTCTTGATTTTCGAATTGTTCTTTTTGATTAGAGGGCCTCTTTTCGAGTAACTTCTGCCTTTTTCACTCCTCCAAAAACTGCTGTTCGCCAGTTGGAGCGATGTTCGGCAATGAACTCCCATTCGTTTGTTTCAATATTGGATGTCCTCATGCTTCGTTTGCAAACGTCAATAAATCTTGATATTGTTATCGGCGTCAGATCGACTTCGGGACTCCATTTCCGGATTTTACAGTTTGGGTTTACTCCCGTATTCTTACCCTAGCTTCCCGCATTGTATTTGCATAGTTATATCAGCATATTTTCATGATTTTACCGTTTTTTTTTACAATTTCGGTATTCACAATTCACAATTTCAGCCATCTTGTTCACTTCAAACATACAGTTAGTTAATTAACCAGACATTAACCTAACACAGACATTTACTTAACACAGACATTTACTTAACACAGACATTTATCTTACACAGACATTTACTTAACGCAGACATTTTCCTAACACAGACATTTAGGTTAGTTATTGCAGACGCATTTTAATATAAAAAGGTCAATACGGACAGTTACATAACACAGATAGTTTCAAACATGTCAAATCAATTAACTTGTTAAAATCTATCAACATATGTCTCAACTGAAGTGTGTATTCCAAAGGTCTTTTTTTTCCACTTCACATTTCTCCATCTCTTTTTCCCCACATATTATATGTTCGATTATTTCACCTTTCAATCGATGAGTATAAAGGTAGATTAGGAAACAATTGTTGTCTTTCCCAAGTAGATACATATTTAATACATATTTAATACGTATTTAATGTCATAACCTTCCCGCCAACTCTAAACTAATACAAGTGTATGCATTTAATGTCATAAGAATTTTTACTGTGGTGTAAAATTACAATACTAGAATGAACAACTTTTTATTATTCTGTAAGGTAGAAGAGACATACTAAGTGTCGTATTACAAGTCCGAATGAAGAATAATCAATTACCTTCAATAACAATATTTCGTTGATTTAATGTTGAGTATATAATTATGCAAAGTAACTCGCGACTGAAAATAAAACTGTAAAAAAACACGCATACATACACACGAACACACATACACACACACACATATATATATATATATATATATATATATATATATATATATATATATATACACTTACACATACACACACTTGCATACACACATAGCACAAATACACATAAACACACACAACCATACTCACACCAATACACACACACAAACACACCTACATATTATTCTGTACTTTAATGAGCAAAAGGAATCAAATCTGGTGGACCAGATCCTACATGCCTTATGGATCTACAGAAAATCCTCTTTTTGTACCCAGCCAAAACCTCTAGAGAGAGAGAGTGAGAGAGAGTGTTAAAAAGAGAGAGACAGAGAGAGAGAGAGAGAACGAGAGAGAGAGAGGGGGAGAAAGGGGGGGAGAGGGAGAAAGAGGGAGAGAGAGGGAGCAGGACGTCCCTATCGACACAAATTTCATACGGACGCCCGACTAACCCAGCAACGCCAGGGAGACCTTTCGTCTAAAGGTTAGGCCACCACACTGGAGTAAGGGGTGGGGAGGCAAGCAGTAATCCTGTAGTTCAAGTACCCTGGAGATTCAAGCAACCTGGAGGTTAAAGAACGTTGACGTTAAAGCAACCCTAGAGGTAGAAGCCCATAACTGTTCTATCACCTTTGAAGATTCAGGCAAGCATACATGGAGGTTGAGGCTCCCCTAAAATATTGAGCAACCCTGGAGATTCAAGCTCTCTTGGAGGTCAAAGCTACTCTAAAGGCTCAAGTACCACAAAAAACCCAAGCACCCCTGGTAGTTCCATCACCACTATTGGTTTAAGCACACCTGAAGTTTCAATAACACATGGAGGTTTAATGACACCTAAACGTTCAAGCACCCCTAAAGGTTCAAGTACCCTTAAAGGTTATATTACCCCCTAAACGTTATATTACCCTTAAAGGTTCAAGCACCCCTTAAGTTTCAAGCTTAACAGGCTTCAAGAAGCTCCAAAGTATCCAGCACTCCAGGGTTCAAGAACCCCTTAAAGTTTCAATCAGCCCTATAGTTTCAAGTTACCCTTGCGTTTGAAACTATTTTAGAGGCGCCCCTGGAGGTTTAAGGCCCACTGAGGTTTAAACCCACCCCCCCCCTCTTACTAAACTTTTAAGCATCCCTAAAGTTTCAAGCATCCCTGGAGGTTCAAGCCCTCCGAAAATTTCAAGCCATCTCTGTAGATCTCTGTTACAGAGTGTCCACATTGTGTCTCTGCCTTCATAGCTTAGGGTATCAGATTGACAAAATTGTGTGTGCGCCTTTGTAGATCGGGATTAATAAACTCTCTACTCTTCCCATCTTAATTAAAATAAAAATTACCAGTTTTGTTTCTTAAATATAGAAATGAATTGTGTTACAATCTACACGTACAATTCCTTAAAATAACCTTCATTTTCCATTCGAAATATCTAAAATATCTCGATTCTATAAATTCAAAAATTAATTTGTAAGTTTTGCCCTTAAACGATTGCAGCGTTTAGTGAACCGCATCTATCTGTGTGGCTTCCGGAGTGGGCGCTGAACAATAGACATGACATTATCATAACGCCAAATGCAGGAGAAATTTCGTGAACAGCATATGCCTTTGTATATTGCTTTCTTAGACCTGAAAAAGGCATTTGACTTGGTAAGTCGGTGAGGCCTTTCCATTATCTTGCAAAGAATAGGAAGTCCCCCACGACTGCTCACAATAATACAGTCATTTCACAAAAACTTGCACAGCACGATAACTTTCAATGGCGCTTTCTCTAAGTCATTCCCAGTCAGCAGCTGAGTAAAACAGGGCTGTGTACTGGCACCAACGCTCTTCTCCATTTTCTTCTCGATGCTCCTTCAATTTGCTTTCAGGGACTGTGAAGATTAAGTGTACGTCTATACCAGATCTGATGGAAGACTGTTCAATATCGCCCGCCTTCGTGTAAAAAAAGGTGCTGATTAGCGAACTGCTGTTCGCTGAAGATGCCGCCTTAACATTTCACTCAGAAGAATGCCTTCAGGGGCAGGTTAATCGTCTATCATGCGCTTTTAAAGAGTTTGGATTTTGATTAGTCTACAGAAAACACATGTAATGATGCAAGAAGCACCGTCCCCTCCAATCTTATCTATTGAGTGTCATAATCTTTCTGTTGTTGAGCATTAACACATACCCTGGATCCAATATTTCTAATTCTCTCTCCCTCGATGATGAGATAAATATCAGGATCGCAAAAGCAGCAGTACCTATGGCTAAACTGAATAAGTGGGTGTGGAATAATCTGATAAAACTAAAATAAGTGTCTATCATGCATGTGTGCTTAGTACGCTCCTATATGGTAGCGAAGTGTGGACAACATGTACCACTCAGGAGAAGAAACTCAACAGCCTCCACCAAAGATTTATGCTCGCATTTTACACATTTGATAGCAGGACAAGGTGCTTAACACGGAGTTCTTGAACGTGCATACTTTTTAGAATATTCTCCATTCTTAGCAAGAGGCGCCTTTGCTGGTTAGGCCAAGTAAGGAGAATGGAGGAAGACCGTATCCCAAAGATGCTGCTGTATGGAGACTTGGCAGAAGGGACAAGACTTATTGGACTGCCACGCCTGAGATTTATGGGCGTTTGCAAGAGGAGCATGAGGGAAGCCGATATTGAAAACAACGAATGGGAGCTCATTGTCAATGAACGTTCCAGCTGTCGAACAGCAGTGTTTGAACGAGTAAAAAATGCAGAAGATACGCGAAACGAGGCCCTTGCAACAAAAAGAACAATACGGAAGTTAAGATCTTACCAGTAATCAATATTCTCCTGTGAGAGGTGCAGTCGAGATTTCCATTCTAGGATTGCCTTAGTGAGACACTCGTTGAAGTGTAGGACTACTTAACTACTCCATCGTCTCGCGAAGACGGAAGGATGCCATATAAAAAATTTTTTCACATTTTTAAGCAATTGAACATTATTTCCTACTATTTAAGTTTGTTTGATCTGAACTTTGATAATGTGTTTTTAAAAAAAAAATTCTTAAAATTTCGACATTTTAGAAGTAAAATAATACTCTTAAACTTATTGTCAAAAGAAGAATTATTTACTTGTTTGAACATCGAATGCTTTTAAAATCCCATTAAAGAGACTGAACTCTTTGTATAGGCACATAAATTAAAGGCAAGTGTCAAGGTGTGTGAAAGAAATACTAACACAAAGTATGTTTTGTTTCTGCTACTTGTCCTTTTTTTTAATCTGCCCTGTCTGCTGAGGAAGGCTCTTAGCCTAAACGTTGTTATCTTATTGTCCTGTCTTTCATCTAAAGCGTCCACACACCTTGTTTTTCCCGAGGCATAAGACCAAAAAGTAGATATGACCTAACCCATCCACCAGTTCACTCAACCGAAAAGGAGACGCGGTCAACCAGGAAGAATTTCACCGACGGTGTCAACCCACCACTGTTGACCCCAGTATTAACACGCTTGCTCCCTCCCTCACCCACCCTTCCCCACCCGTTGTCCAGGTGAACATTGCGGAGTCTTCTGTCAGTGTGTAAACAAACAAATGACATTGTGCTAGATGGTAATGTAAGGAAAGTGAAAGTCTAGAATAGGAAGGAAGTGGTACAAAAGACAAAGACAAATATGACATTAGACGAATGGCTTCCTTCCTCTTGGATGAGGTATTACGCATCTGAGAAAAAGAAGAAAAAAAAAAGGGGGTGGGGGGGGGGTTCATAAGAACTAAATCAAATGAATAAATTTTTTTTTTTAAAGTTTCGTCATTCAATAATTATTTAGGTTCCGGAATCTATCAAGTGGACAGCAAATGACCGATGCCTTGGAATCTATCAAGTGGACAGCAAATGACCGATGCCTTGGAATCTATCAAGTGGACAGCAAATGACCGATGCCTTGGAATCTATCAAGTGGACAGCAAATGACCGATGCCTTGGAATCTATCAAGTGGACAGCAAATGACCGATGCCTTGGAATCTATCAAGTGGACAGCAAATGACCGATGCCTTGGAATCTATCAAGTGGACAGCAAATGACCGATGCCTTCGAATCTATCAAGTGGACAGCAAATGACCGATGCCTTACAAAAATTAATTCATATAATCATTTCTGTGATGCATTTAGAAATTTAAACTTAGACATACTCTTAATCTACGAAGTATAAAAAATTATCATGATTATTAGATGAAACAAAACACACTATCGCACAAAAGAAAGAAATTTTAAAAAAATATTGAACGTAACGAAATAATAATAATAATGAAAGAAAACGTTCAAATGTCATTAGATTTGATCTAAAGTTAAAGCGGGAAATATGCAGTTTGTGTTACCTTTAGAAACTATTGAAAATGTATATCTATACGTTTTTTACAATTTATCTTATGTTTGTTTATTAAAGAAATATTACTATATCTGCGAGTCTCCATAAATCTTCAGTAACCAAAACTTGTGTGTGTGTGGGGTGGGGGGGGGTGTTTGACTGTGTCCAAGCTCACCGAGGGGACTGTTTTGTTCGGACAGGATAATAGACCACTCACAACCATGGATGGGCGCCGTGTGGCCACCCACAGATTACCTCTTTCTCGCCTTGGTGTCAAGCTACACAAATAAATATGTGACGTGATAACCTTGTACAACGCCCTGATAAGGTTGGCGCTAGTAGGTGACCGCCTTGTACAAGGTCATGCCAACGTTGGCGCTAGTAGGTGATCGCCTTGTTCAGGGGCCTGCCAATGTTGGTGCTTGTAGGTGACGATCTTGTTAGGCGACCGGACAATTTTGGCGCTATAAGATGAGATCCTTAATCCTTAAGGTATTTAAGAGGCACTGCGCTCTCATAGTGTCCAATTAGATCCATAGGTGTCACGCTATCAAGTGCGATAAAACGTACTCTTTGCAAAGTCGATGCAACACTTCAACTAGTGAGAAACTAGTTTCTCGTGATTTGCTGGCATCTTGACCAGTAGATTAAGAGATATTCTGTGACGTTGATACGTCTTCGTTACTTATACCTATTAGCGCAACGGCTAGAAAGTACGAATAGCAAACACACAATCTTAACATGTCTGTCGCTAGCAGTGATACTGGTATCTTCTCCATCAACGAGTTGGCCCCGCACTACTCTAGAGCACATTTTCAATGGCCCAACAAGGAGCAAAACGTGGATTATGTTATCCAGTGGCTGAACGACATCCATCTGGTCGAGGATGGCCAAGCAGTAGCACCGGCGAGGTCCATGAAGTCTGACATTGACATTGAGGATAACATGAAAAATGTGGCACCCTGGGCCAGAGACCTTGTGGGCAGCAGCTACCGCTACAAATATGGATATGTGGATACTCATTTCCACATGGATACGCTGACGGATGTATTAAACAGCGACCAAGATTTAAGCAATGTGAGGCAGTCTCTACCCGATAATTATGATGGATTTATTGCAGTGTTTTCAAATCCAAGTACATTTGATGCTGAATGTAAGTACATATTTATTTCAAGGAAAAAAATGTATATATATATATATAATCACCGTACATTTTTTCAAATAGTGTACCTAAAGATTTCAATCACATTTTAACTTGATTACTTCTAAAGCACATTTTTTTAAACTAAAATAATGAAATAGACACTTTGGCACGTCTCTCCAGGATTAATTAAGGAATCTTATTTGTTTTCATCTGTATTAGGATCTTATCATTGATTTATTCAAGACTTATCAATTGACAAGTGAAAACATACTTGTACAAATAAAGATTCAACCTGTTTCAATTCAATTACTAAATTTAAATGACCCACATTATCACATATATATATATATATATATATATATATATATATATATATATATATATATATATATATATATAATATACATATGTAGTGCGCGATTATTTGATATAGAATAGTCGGTGTAACACTACATGCAAATCCGTAAAAAATAGATTAGGAATAAAAACATAAAATAATAGTTGTAGATATCATGTCATTAAAATAACAGTAGTTGCTCCTTCACTTTCGTTGTGCGTTTCTAGCCTCCTGTGATTTTTTGCTAGATTTATTTGTATTTATTGACGCGTATCAATAATGTTTTGTTAGTTATTTACCCCAATTTAATAACTGAGCTGGGGGGGCGGAAAATGGGCTTAACTGAAGATGACACAATATCTTCATTCCTTGAAATTTTGTGTTTTGTTTTTCTCTCACGGCCAGGCAGCCTAGTTCTCAGATCTGTATGGAATTGAAATATCAGCTCAGTAGCATTTTTTTGTTTCAGTGTCTGAAAGCCATGCTCTAAAATCTGTGTTGAATGGCAATATCATCTCATTAACACTTAATTTGTTTGTTGCTTCAGTGCCAGGCAGCGAGGCTCTAAGATCCACACTGAAGGATACAAAGATGAGGTACGTCATGGGATGTGCCCCCAAGTACGCCGACCGCTTCAACTTCTCCCAGATCGATGAGTTCCAGATGGCCCTCTACGCCAAGAACGTTATCGCCGTTGGGCCGTGTGGGCTGGACTGCACCATCAAGCTGGACATGGGGCTTCAGAGGACAGTCTTCAAACTACAGATAGAGATTGCTACGGAGATGGGACTTCCGTTGGTTATTCAGAGCAAGATGGCCGATCTTGACTGTTTGGATTTGCTCGAGAGGGTAGCTATTAAAATTTGTTATAAAATTATAATGATAGTTAAGTTTCGTAATTTTCAGTTACCGTGCTGATAGAAAATGTATTTTCCTGCCAGAATTTTATACATTTCTTATGAAGATTTATTATTTTTAGTATTAGTTTAAAAACCAATTATATTTTGTCATTATTTGGTCACCGCTTATTTTGTTTCGGGCATTAGAGTGTCAAAATGTTTCAAAAATTGTCAAAATACAGATGTGGAAAATTTCCTTTCAATTAATATGCATTTTCTTTAATACCATTGGTGTAATATTTTCCCTTGCACAACATTACATTCACTTTTATTACCACTTGTGTACAATCCTGTTTCGTTTGTTCCATTAGTACACGCCGTCAACCCAGAAGATCCACATCCAAGGATTTGAGGGTGATGACAACACGGCCAGCTGCTGGATGTCCAGTTTCCCTAACGTGTACTTTGGCTTGACCCCAGTCATCGGTGACTCGGCCACGCCCACTTACATCAAGGACATGGTCAGGTCGATTCCCCTAAACAGAGTTCTCCTAGAATCCGGGGCACCACACTTCGTTCCGGAGAAATTCAGTGTAAGTTTTCGATTGTTTCTATATTTCTCTGGTAGTAATTAAACAAATATATTTATCTCAATTGTAAAAGTATACCTCCATGAAGAAATATTTATTTTATCATTGGTGAACAGAATCACTTATAATGGGGCTAAAGCTAGATTAGTGTTTTGTATCATAGGTTAAGAGAATCAACTCTAATGGGGCTAAAGCTAGATAGTGCTTTGTATCATTAGTTAAAAGAATGTCCGCAAATGGGGCTTCAGCTTGATGTTGCTGTGTCATTGGTTAACAGAATTACCAATATTGGGGCTTACGCCAGACAGAGCTTTAATTTTGAAATCCCATTTATTTATGGACACAATTTTAATCTAAAAAAAAATAAAATGAAAATATTAAAACTTAAAAACACACACACACACAAAAAGCCCATCTTTAATTTTTCTTTGTATTGGTTTAGTGTGTATGGGGTGAGATGGTGGCGAGAATTTAACCTCTCATGATTTTTAAGTAATTATAAGTTTTCCAAAATTTTCCTTCTAATTATGTAGGAATAATTTCTGTTATTTTCAAGGCTCGGGGACTGAGCCCCGTGGTTAAGATTTCATTTTATGATCTCACGGCCTAGTTGATCAACTTCATGGAATTATGACACATTGTGGATTATGTGTAAATATATTTATATATTTTTTTTTTCAGAATGACGTCCAAAGCTCCCATTTCGGATTCGCTTTAGTAACTGCCCAGGCTGTCGGGGAGCTGAGACGCGTATCCATGGATACTGTGCTCAAGGTGTGTAGGGACAACACACGTCGGTTCTATGATATCTAAAATGATTATTGCCACTATTTTTAGCCCCAAAAGGAGGAAAGGTACCTACACTTTGATGAGTTGAATGTGAAAACTCTAGCTCGAGGGACTTAACATGGCGTGATTATCAAAATAACTGTGATGAATAGGTTTCTATGACGACCATCGAAACTTATCCTCATCGACGCCGTGGACAATCTTGTCAGAGGACATTTTAGAAATAAGTGCTGAACGTAAAGGAATAGATCATTTTCATATAAACCTTCCTCTCATCTGTCAAACTATTTGAGATATAGTTGTTTTTAAATACCTTTTTTTTTATTTTAAATGTGTTCACATTTCTTGATTATACTGTGTTCACATTTTTTTGGTATACTGAGTTCACATTTCTTGATATCTCGTAATAAATTTTATATTTTCTATTAAAATGAACTGGAACATGAAAAGTATAAATCCTTTGTATAAACATTGATTTTTTTTTCACTAAGAAAAAGATTGTTTTTTTTTTAATATAACATTTCCGAAATGTCTAAAGTGCAATTTTTTGACGATTGTTCTCCTATTTGAATTAGATGAGCTTAAGTTTCATCGCAGACGTATTCAAATGTGCCTCACTTTGGTTGTAAATATTATTTGTACAAATTAAGTATACCACATTGGTGTATGCATTTTCTATGTATATTTAGAGATTTATAGAGATGAATTACGGAAAGATGAGTACTGAATAAAATATAATTCCTGAATTCCACGCTATTTTATTTTTTAAATTTTTGATGTTCTAGTATTTCTTGTCAATTTCCCTTAATCAATACGAACTTAAATGGCTTTTTTTTCGGTATACAACATTTGATTGAGAATCATATTTGTTTCATTCCGAAAAGCATTGCTCCAGAATAGTTACAACTGCTCTCAGGCGAAGCATCCTAAAAAAATTTGACCAACGACATACACACACGCACACACCCATACACTCACCTATATATATATATATATACAGTTACACATACACAAACTTGCATACATAACACACATATACCCACACATATACCCATAAACACACACACACACAAAAACACCCACATGTTATACTGTAATTTAAAATCAGTTCATCCAATTGAATCTAATTTAATGAACTAAAGGAATATAAAAAACTGCAGACCAGATCCTAAATGCCTTATGGATCTACCAAAAAATCTTCTTTTTGAACCCAACCAAAACCCTAGAGAGAGTGAGAGAGCAGGACATCCCCATCGACACAGATTTCCAACGGACGCCCTAATAATCCTGCAATGCCGTAGACAACTTTCTTGTAAAGGTTAGGCCGCCACATTGGATTAGGGGGTGGGAAGGGGGTAAGCAGTAAACCTGTAGTTTAAAAACTTTGAGGTTAAAATACCCCTAGAGGTACACGCTAATTAGGTTTGATCAGCACAAAATATTCAAGAACGCATCAGTTTTATTCATACCTGGAGGTTGAAGCTCCCTTAAAATTTTGAGCACCCCTGGAGGCTGAAGCACCCCTGGAGGCTGAAGCACCCCTATAGGTTCAAGCACGACGAATGATGCATTCCTAAAGTTTCCAACACCCCTGGAGTTTTAAAGCTACTCTAAAGACACAGGCGCCACTAAATACCAGAGCACCAAGTTATTTCCATCACCACTATAGGTACAAGGACACCTGGTTTTTTAATAACAAATGGAGGTTTAAGGACACATAAACGCCCAATCACCCTTAAAGATCCAATCACCCCTAAAGATCCAAGCACCCCTAAAGTTCAAAGCACCCCTAAAGATCCAATCACCCCTAAAGATCCAAGCATCCCTAAAGATCCAAGCACCCTTAAAGATCCAAGCACCCCTAAAGTTCAAAGCACCCCTAAAGATCCAATCACCCCTAAAGATCCAATCACCCCTAAAGATCCAAGCACCCCTAAAGATCCAAGCACCCCTAAAGATCCAAGCACCCCTAAAGATCCAAGCACCCCTAAAGATTCAAGCAAGCCTAAAGTTCAAAGCACCCCTAAAGATCCAAGCATCCCTAAAGATCCAATCACCCCTAAAGATCCAAGCACCCCTAAAGATTCAAGCAAGCCTAAAGATTCAAGCAAGCCTAAAGTTCAAAGCACCCCTAAAGATCCAATCACCCCTAAAGATCCAAGCACCCCTAAAGATCCAATCACCCCTAAAGATCCAATCACCCCTAAAGATCCAATCACCCCTAAAGATCCAATCACCCTTAAAGGTTAAAGCTGACAAGGAAGTTCAAGCATACCTGGATTTAAATACACAATTTACTGTTCAAGTATCCCTAAAGGTTCAAGCATCCCTTAAGATTCAAACACCCCTGTAGGTTCAAGCATCCCGTAAGATTCAAACACCCCTGTAGGTTCAAGCATCCCTTAAGATTCAAACACCCCTGTAGGTTCAAGCATCCCGTAAGATTCAAACACCCCTGTAGGTTCAAGCATCCCGTAAGATTCAAACACCCCTGTAGGTTCAAGCATCCCTTAAGATTCAAACACCCCTGTAGGTTCAAGCATCCCTTAAGATTCAAACACCCCTGTAGGTTCAAGCATCCCGTAAGATTCAAACACCCCTGTAGGTTCAAGCACCCCTTAAGATTCAAACACCCCTGTAGGTTCAAGCATCCCTTAAGATTCAAACACCCCTGTAGGTTCAAGCACCCCTTAAGATTCAAACACCACTGTAGGTTCAAGCATCCCGTAAGATTCAAACACCATTGTAGGTTCAAGCACCCCTCAAGTTTCATGCTTCCCAGGGTTCAAGAAGCCCTAAAGAATCCAGCACCCCATGGTTCAAACGCCCCTAAAGTTTCAATCATCCCTATAGTTTCAAGTTCCCCGTGAGATTCAAACCCTTTTAGAGGTTCAGGCGCCCCTAGAGATTCAAGGCCCACTGGAGGTTCAACCCCCCCCCCCCAACCTTACTAAACGTTGAAGCATCCCTAAAGTAGCAAGCACCCCAGGAGGTTCAAGCGCTACTAAAATTCAAGCCATATTTGTCGATCTCTGTTACAGAATTTCCACAGTTTTTCCCTGCCCATGTAGTTTAGGGTATCAGGTGTAGATCAGCGTTAATAAACTCTACTATTCCTTTCTAAATTGGAATAAAAATGACCAGATCTGTTTTTAAATATAGAAATGAATAGTGTTACAATCTACTTTCGTAAAAAAAAATACCTTAAAATAACCTTCATATTCAATTCGAAATATCTGAAAACTCTCGATTCTATAAAATTAAATCATAAAAATAATGTTAAAACTTTAAAAATAAACACACAAAAAAACACGTTCTATATTGAAAACGAGACCAAAAGAACTAAAATGTAGGGAAAAGGTTAAAAGTTTCTTTACATACATTATGGAAATAAAGATTTTGAAGAAAGTAAAATGAGCAATCTATGAAGCGATAGGATTCGAATTGAATGTAGACAAAAAGTATGTATGTTCATTTGTTATTAATTTAAAATAAAAATAATTTCTGCACAGACTTTCAACTGGTAATACATTTTTAGAACCTGAAAATTATTATCTACTATTTAGTGCATTTGATCTCGTCTTTGAGAATGTCTTTTTGAAAACATTCTTTTTTTCTACTTATTAGTATTAAAATAATACTCTTCAAATTATCGACAAAAGTAAAACTATTTACATGTTCATTGAACATGGAATGCTTTTAGAATTTCATTAAAGAGACATAACACATTGTAAAGGGAAACAATGTAAAGGCAACGGGTGGAGTTGTGTGAAATAAATAGTAAAACAAGGTTTGTTTTGTTTCTGTTTTTTGTCCTTTTTTAAAAAAAAATCTGTCCTGTCTGCTGCGGGAGGCTCTTAGCCTAAACGTTCTTATCTTACTGTCCTGTCTTTCATCTAAAGCTTTCACACACCTTGTTTTCCCGAGGCATAAGACTCAAAAAAAGATACGATCTCACCCACCCCACCCGTTCACTCAACCGCCAAGCAGATGGCGGTCAACCAGGTTGATTTCAGCGACGGTGTCAAACGGCCACTATCGACCCAGTATAAACACGCTTGCTCACTCCCTCACCCACCCCTCCGCACCCGTTGTCCGGGTGAACACTGCGGAGTCTTCTGTAGTGTATAAACAAACATATGACGCTTCAGAAGATTATACGCCGTACCAGATGATAATGTAAGGAAAGGGAAAGTCTTGAATAGGAAGAAAGTGGTATAAAAAAAAATAGCTTCCTTCGTTTAGGTTAAGGTATTACGCTTCTGAAGAGAAAAAAAAACCGTGAGGTTTTTCATAAGAACTAAATCAAATGAATCAATTCCTTTTTTAAAAGTATCATTATTCAATAATTGTCTAGCTTCTATAATCTATCAAGTGGACCGCAAATGACCGAAGCTTTAACAAAAAAAAAATTCATATAAATATTTCTATTATGCATTTAGACATTTAAACTTACATATACTTTTAAACTACGAAGTATACACATTTATCATAATTATTAGATGAAACAAAACATACCATAGCACATAAGAAAGAAAGAAAAAAATATTGAACGTTACGAAATAAGATTGTGAAAGGAAACATTCGAATGTCATTAGATTTGATTTAAAGTTTAATCGGGAAATATGTAGTTTATATTACGCTTAGAAATGTATTGAAAATGTATGTTTATTCGTTTTCTTCATTTATCTTATGTTTGTTTATTTAAATGCATATTAATATATCAGCGACTCTCCATAAATCTTCAGTAATTTTTTTTTTCTTTGTTTGTTTGTTTGTTTGTTTTTTTTTGTTGTTTGTTTGTTTGGAATCGTTGTTTTTTTTTTTTTTTTTTGGGGGGGGGGGGGTGTGTGTGTGTGTTTGATTGTTTGACTGTGACAAAGCTCACCGATGGGACTCTATTGTTCGGACAGGATAATGGGCAACTAGCAACCACGGACGGCCGCCCTTTGGGCACCCACGGATTATCTCTTTCCCGCATTGTTGGTGTTCAGATACAACAATAAATAAGTTACGTGATCACCTTGCCCAACGCCCTGCCAATGTTGGGGCCAGTAGGTGACCGCCTTGTACATCGTGCCGCCAATGTTGGCGCTAGTAGGTGACCGCCTTTTACATCATGCCGCCAACGTTAGCAAACGTTGGGGCTAGTATGTGACCGCCTTGTACGGGGGCCTGCCAATGTTGGTGCTTAGAAGGTGACGATCTTGTTAGGCGACCTGACAATTTGGGCGCTATAAGATGACGCTCACGAGATCCTTAATCCTTAAGGTATTTAAGAAGCACTGCGCTCTCATAGTATCCATTTACATCCAGAGGTGTCACGCTATCAAGTGTGATAAAACGTACTCTTTGCAAAGTCGATGCAACATTTCAACTAGTGAGAAACTAGTTTCTCGTGATTTGCTGGCATCTTGACCAGTAGATTAAGAGATATTCTGTGACGTTGATACGTCTTCGCTACTTAAACCTATTATTTTAACGGTTAGAAAGTACGATTAGCAATCACACTATCTTAACATGTCTGTCGCTAGCAGTGATACAGGTATCTTCTCCATCAACGAGTTGGCCCCGCAATACTCCAGGGAACATTTTCAATGGCCCAACAAGGAGCAAAACGTGGATTCTGTTATCCAGTGGCTGAACGACATCCATCTGGTCGAGGATGGCCAAGCAGTAGCACCGGCGAGGTCCATTAAGTCTGACGGTGAGATTGATGACGACATGAAAAATGTGGCCCCCTGGGCCAGAGACTTTGTGAGCAGCAGCTACCGCTACAAATATGCATATGTGGATACTCATTTCCACATGGATACGCTGACGGATGTATTAAACAGCGACCAAGATTTAAGCAATGTGAGTCAGTCTCTACCCGATAACTATGATGGATTTATTGCAGTGTTTTCAAATCCAAGTACATTTGATGCAGAATGTAAGTACATATTTATTTCAAGGAAAAATATTTACATATATATATATAGTAACCGTACATTTTGTCAAATAGTGTACCTAAAGATTTCAATCGCATTTTAACTTGGGATAACTTCTAAAGCGCATTTTTTAACTAATCAATTGAAATACATACTATTGGTTCGTCTCTCGAGGATTAATTAAGGAATGTCATTTGATTTCCAACATCTGTATTAAGTTCTTACTATTGATATATTCAACACTTATCAATTGACAATTGAAAACATACTTGTACTTATGAAGATTCAATCTGTGTCAATTATTAAATTCAAAGGACCCTCATTGTATATTTATATAAATCAGTAAAAATTAGTTTAGGAATAAAAACTATAAGATAACAGTTGTAGATATCATGTCATTAAAATAAAAGTAGTTGTGCGTTTATAGCCTCCTATTCATTCAATTTTTTTTTTTGCTAGATTTATTTGTATTTATTGATGCGTATAAATAATGTTTAGTTTTTTTGTAATGCTAGTTTTTTGCCCCAATTTAATTACTGAGCTGGGGGGGGGGGCGGAAAAGGGGCTTAACTGAAGATGACACAAGACACAATATCTCATTCCTTGAAATTTTGTGTTTTGTTTTTCTCTCACGGCCAGGCAGCCTAGTTCTCAGATCTGTATGGAATTGAAATATCAGCTCAGTAGCATTTTTTGTTTTGGTTTCAGTGTCTGACAGCCATGCTCTAAAATCTGTGTTGAATGGCAATATCATCTTACTAACACTTAATTTGTTTTTTGCTTCAGTGCCAGGCAGCGAGGTTCTAAGATCCACACTGAACAATACAAAGATGAGGTACGTCATGGGATGTGCCCCCAAATACGCCGACCACTTCAACTTCTCCCAGATCGATGAGTTCCAGATGGCCCTCTACGCCAAGAACGTTATCGCCGTGGGGCCGTGTGGGCTGGACTGCACCATCAAACTGGACATGGGGCTTCAGAGAACCGTCTTCAAACTACAGATAGAGATTGCTGCGGAGATGGGACTTCCGTTGGTTATTCAGAGCAAGATGGCCGATCTTGACTGTTTGGATTTGCTCGAGAGGGTAGCTATTAAAATTTGTTATAAAATTATAACGATCGTTAATTTTCATAATTGTCAGTTACCGTGCTGATAGAAAATGTATTTTCCTACTAGAATTTTATGCAATTCTTATAAGATTTATAATAATTAGTATTAATTTCAAAAGCAATTATATTTTGTCCTTGTTTTGGGTCATTTGAGTAATTTCAAAAAATGCGCTTTTAGAATGTTTCATAAATTTTCTAAATATAGATGTGGAAAAATTCCTTTAAATTAATATGCATTTTCTTTAATGCTGATGATGTAATATTTTCCCTTACTTCACATTACTTTCACTTTTAACGTCACTTGTGAAACATCCTGTTTCCTTTGTTCTATTAGCTCACTCCGTCCACCCAGAAGATCCACATCCAAGGATTTGAGGGTGATGACAACACGGCCAACTGCTGGATGTCTAGTTTCCCTAACGTGTACTTTGGCTTGACCCCAGTCATCGGTGACTCGGCCACGCCCACCTACATCAAGGACATGGTCAGGTCCATTCCCCTGAACAGAGTTCTCCTAGAATCCGGGGCGCCACACTTCGTTCCGGAGAAATTCAGTGTAAGTTTTAGATTTTTTCGATATTTCTTTGGTAGAAATTAAACAAATATGTCTATCTCAATTGTAAAGGTATGCGTCCATGAAGAATTTTTTTTTGTTTTCCACCAGTGAACAGAATCATCCATAATGGGGCTTATCTAAGATTACTTTTTTGTGTCATAGGTTAAGAGAATCACTGCTAATGGGGCTAAAGCTAGATAGTGCTTTGTATCAGTAGTTAACAGAAAATCTGCTAATGGGGGCTTAAGCTCGATATTGCTTTGTGTCATTGGTTGACTGAATTACCCCTTATGGGGCTTACGCTGGACAGTGCTTTAAATCGTAAATCCAGTTTTTTAATATAAAATAAGAAAAACAATAAAAAACAACAAAATAAAACGCCCATATTTAATTTTTCTTTGTTTTGGGTTTTAGTGTATGTGTGTATGTAGTGTGGGGTGGTGACGAGAATGTAATCTCATGATTTTTAAAGCAATATTTAAGTATTCTAACATTTTCATTCTAATTATCTAGGAATAAATTCTGTTATTTTCAATGTTCGTGGGACTGAGCCCCTGGCTGAAGATTTCATTTCATGATCTCACGGCCTATTTGATCAACTTCACATAATTATGACAGATTCCGAATTATGTATAAATATATGTTTCATTTCTTTTCAGAATGACGTGCACAGCTCCCATTTCGGATTTGCTTTAGTCACTGCCCAGGCTGTCGGGGAGCTGAGACGCGTATCCATAGATACTGTGCTCAAGGTGTGTAGGGACAACACACGTCGGTTCTATGATATCTAAGATGATTATTGCCAATATTTTTGGCCGCAATGAAGGAAATGTACCTTTCGTGGGACTTAGCATGGCGTAATTATCAAATTAACCGTGATGAATAGTTAATATGTCAACCATCAAATCTCATCGACACTGTTGAAAATCTTGTCAGAGGAGATTTTAGACATAAGTACTGAACGTAAAGAAATAGTTGTTTTTTATGGAAATTTTCTTCTCATCTTTTTAACCTATTTGAAATATAGTTGATTTTAAATACCTCTAACAAAACTGCTGTATTTTTAATGTTAATTTTTTAAATGTGTCCACATTTCTTGATATGCTGTGTCCACATTTCTTGATATCTCTTGATAAATTGTCAATCATTTATTTAAATGAACTGGAATGTGTAAATATGTACTCTATATGAAAATTATAAATCTTTTTGTAAACTATGATTCTTTTTTTAACTAAGCAAAAGATTTTTTTCCAAATATAGCAGTTTCGATATGTCAATATGTCGGAAGTGCAATTATTGATGATCGTTCTCCTATTAGGTGAGCTTAATTTTCATCGCAGACGTATTCAAATGTCTCTCACTTTGGTTGTAAATACAATTTGTACAAATACATTGATGTATGCATTTCTATATATATTTAGAGAATATAAGGATTGAATTATAAGTACTGAATAAAATAAAATGCCTGAATTCCACGCTGTTGGATGTTTAACTTTAAGATGTTCTAGTATTTGTTGTCAATTTCTCTTACTCAAAATAATAAGAGTTTTATTATTTATACCCAACACGAACTTAACATGGGTTTTTTTCTGAAAAAAATCTTATTTGTTTCTTTCCTAAATACATTGCACTAGAATAACGACCATTGCTCTCAAGCGAAGCACCATCATAATACAATCTTTTGACCCACCTATTAAAATATAAAGCCACCTCCCGGACTTTCACAAAACAAAATATATAATTTAATATAAAAAGTAACACATAGTGGGCATCTGAGATGTGGCAGGAAGTTTTCTTCAACCTTTTTTTGGAAAAATTATCTTCTGGTGTTTTCACTTTTAACGCACAGCCATCGGAGATTTCCATGAATGAGTCACCATGCAAGAATGTTGCCAACCACTTGGATGGCCTATGTTGTTCTGCTGTGTTGTTTTGCTTGTCTGTGAGTTATGGTTGGGGAATTAATATGCCCACACGTTGTGGGTCTAAGGGTTGGGTGTTGGCACAGTGGTTTAAAGCAGTGTCGTGATGAAACGCCATGAGTGCCCAAGGCCGTCGGAATCTCCGGGCCATAACATGTAACATTCCCTCCCCTCAAAGTAAAATATCCATTTCGTTGACTTTGAGTTCGAGTCAAAATTATGTAAAAATACAACAGATGTTCTTGCCTTTTGTCTGGTCTTTTTGTTAGGACCATTTTTGTTCACTTCTTCACTGATTCAATTAGCTGAATTTTATTTTTTTAAAATTCTATTCACCCCGCTGCTATTATTTGATGACATTTCTCTAAACATTTCTTTTCATGATGGTCTATGACAACATATGACATAAGTGGTTTCTCTAACTTTTTTGCCCTACCCCCCCCCCCTAATTCTATAACTTGTGTATGCACATGCCGAGGATGGGGGGGGGGGCATCTGTACCTTAAAGTCACGCCATTATAAGTTTCAATCAATTTCTCAACCCCGGAAAAAATGTGTAAACTGTTTATACTAATTAATTCATGACGGATGTTCCACAAAAGGCACCGGACCCCTAGACAATCTGGCATTGTAAATAGTTATATTAATTATGTATATACCTACAAATGCACATCGCTTTAATGAAAAAGCAAGTGAATAGGCTAAGCCGAATTCCATTCAAATTAAAGTGCAATACGAATAGTTTAAACGATTTGAATGGAGTTATTACTTGCTACTCGTTAACCTTGGAAGAGAAGGAAACTCTGAAATCAAAACCCGGAGATGGAGTCCCGAAAAGGCGGATAACATTGATACAATGAAACATTCCGACAATTCCTGCGACGTCACTGGCGCCAATCTGTATCATCCAATGATGTTCCCTTGGGTTATACAGCGGCGTGGAGAGAGCCGATTTGCTGTTGGGAACCAGCTTATAATCCTTGAAGAATAATCACAGGCCATGTGGATTTCGTCCTCTGAAGCCCACGCCATCGTCACATTGTGACTGTCGGATGCCAGCAAAAAAAAAAAAAAAATTACTTGCTACTGACCATCCCCCAACAGACTGCATATTGAAGACTGAGATTATATTTATCCCAGGACGAAGTACTTCAGTTTGGAAATTAGGAAGAGTAACATTTTAAAAAAAACAACTTGACAATACGTTTTTATTCTGGGCTCTATAGATCAAAGTTGAGAAATATTTCACGGCACACTGGGGGAGGGGAGTGTTTGGGGCAACCCTAAGTGAATACTTAGATTATCCAACCCCCCCCCCCCTAGCGGCTGAAAACATTTTAAAAAAAACAACTTGACAATCCGGTTTTATTCTGGGGTCTATAGATCAAAGTTGAGAAAAATTTCACGGCACCCGGGGGGAGGGGAGGGTTTGGGGCAACCCTAAGTGAATACTTAGATTATCCAACCCCCCCCCCCCTAGCGGCTGACGGGACACCTCACGTGGACTGTTGTGACAGCCCCCTTTGAAAACAGCTGGCACTAACAATCTTACGGTTTGTAATGAAAACGGTCACGAGGATGATAAGAAAAGTCTACGACAAATGTAGGCCTGTAACTATAACTTGAGACAGTTTTTACATCAAACGTATGCATTTAGCAATCTGTTGTTAACGATCTTGATCCCATATGTGAAATAGGCAAAAAGTCTTGGTGGATTAAATTAGTTCAACTCATCTCATGAAACGACTGCACATGACACATAAAGCATTGTATGCCTTCGATGTCAGATCGTTTCTTTATTTCAAAACTACAAAACATGCTTATCAATAGAAAATCTCGTTGACAATTTGATGTTTAATGAGCTCTGTAAATTGTTAAGTTAAATGTCTTCTAAATACTAGAAAATTATTTCTCTTCCGGTTTTTTGTTTTCAACAATTTTAAAAACACGTTAATTTTTTTTCTTCTCCAAATCAGCAACTAGAAGCAGAGGTGACACCTTTGACGGTACGTAGGCCTACTCTCAAGCGGGGGTCATGTTGACAACATAAGGAGATTTGAGTGTAGTCGAGGGAACTCATCCAGGGCCATATCCTATTTGTAAGAAAAAGACTCAAGCCAGAATGTGCAGACGCGTGTTGGTCCTTTGGCTAATGACGTGTGATTTGCGTCTCTGTGAATTACTGACGGAGCGCAAACAACATGCACCATCTCGTACAAACATTTTAGCTACCGGACACCTTCCTTGCGCCACTCGGATCACCGGATCAAAACATTTCCCATGGCCCGACACATGCGTTTCTGCCACCCCAACTCAATCTCAAGAACACATTAACCGAAAATTATTTTGGTAAAAATAACACATTGCTCAGAATAAGCGATTGCTCACATCTGATGAAAAACAGCATCGCAGTGCCACAATTAGAGCACACATTTTGTTGTTAACAGAATTCCCAATTTCCAGAAAAACGTACCAGGAAAACCCAATTAGGATTAGTTGAGTTCTTTGATGCAGCACCTCCATGCCTAGTAGCTGATGGGAGCCACTAGAGGGTACATCGAAGTCTAGTGTGGTTTCTAAATTTAAAGGCTGGTAATTACATTTAAAATGTGTAATTTAACCTACGTACATACAGTAGAGTAGTTTTAATTTGTTTCTTTTTTCGTCATTCATATGTCCTGGATTCGTTCAATACATAATTTTTTTTTTGACTTAATGGTAATTATGATGAATATAAGAACTGATTTTTATTTAAATTTTTATTTTTAGGGAATGTTTGTGAAATGCAAAAGTAGCAAGACACTTTAAAGAACCATATTAGTATATATATATATATATTTCTTTATTTATTTATTTGTTTATTTACATATAATGTTAATTAAGTTTGGGATGGGGGGATCATATGTGTGTTTTCTGTGCTCGTAAGCAGCCACCATAGGCTCAGTTCTTTCTTTCAAAGTAATTTTTCTTCCTCCAAGAAGATTTACGAGTAGAGTTTTTTGTAAAATAATAATTATTCGTCACACAGCTCACCCTTACACATGCTAAGCGAAATATAAATATTTATTT